ATGACGAGTTTGTATGATTGATTCGATCCCATTAGCCTTTAACTTTCTTATCCCACCTTACCCTAAGCCTCATTACAACCCGATTTTAACCCTTTGATTTTGTGTTTATTCTTATTCATTTTGGGTGGTTGAACATGATATCTTTGCAAGCTTATGGTAAAAATCTTCGATGTCTTGACTTGAGCGTACATTTACATATAGCCTATACACTTTGAGTGCAAGAGTGAATCTCGTGAGAAGTGTTGATTTTCATGTGTTTAAGTTACGTGATTGTTGGGTGTATTTCACATTGGTTGGTTGATGGGGACTCAAGTTTGACTTGTGTGTTGATGCTTACTTTATGTTTTGAATTGGCATTGGATGATAGAAGATGATTGTGAGTTGAGATAATGGATTTGACTTTATGCTTGAGGACAAGCATCGTTTTAAGCGTAGGGGTGTTTGATAAGTCGAAAATATATGTTTATAATATAGTAAAATTTGGACTATGTGTTGGATATTTGTGCTTAAGTGACGTGTTTTCGACTTTATCATGTGTCTTCGAGTAGAAACTACCTTTGTTGATATTTTTGTGCAGTTAGATCGCATGGTGCACATATAACCAACATGGCAGCACTGGGTTTTGTTTAAACATGGCCATGTCAGTATGGACGGACAGTGCGTAGCTTATGATTTAGACGTAGGCCCGTAAACATTGAGCCCAATAGGATTAAAAGTCCAACCATAATTAAAGATGAAGAGATCAGATTTTTGAGACCTACACTAGGGATCTTCACAAACATCAACTCTCTCCTCTCTTTTCTTCAATATATTTCTTTTTCTTTTCTCTTGGATCATGGAAGCCCTGCGCGGCTAATTCTCTTTTGTTTCGGTTGAACACGATTGAAACCCCGAACTTAATACTGTGAGATCTAATTAGTTTTTATTTATTAATTCATATTTCGTATTAATTGTTTTGTGTGTTTATGCTTATGATTTTGTGTTAGGATTGTAGCCTGATCAACTATTGTCTTGTGCACTTAATCTATTGCTTGGTAGATATTGAGTCGGATTTAGATAATTTATCTATCGTAAGAAGCATCTAAGTGTGGTGATTGACCGGATTTAGGCGTTATCATTCTTAGGCAAAATAATTATACAAGTTAGCATTTAACGGATTAGTTATTTGTTAATTGTGTTGTCGGGCTCTACTTTTTAATGCTATTGCTAGGATAATTTTACACGATGTTGGGAATTGCTTAGTAATAAGGGTTGTGTAGAAGGATTTATTTTGCATAGCCAATTTAGGAGTCAGAATTCATCATTCAACGGCATCTACGTATTTATGAGTTGATAATATTTGCATCGAGGATCAGTAAAATAATTCGGGGTGGAAATCAGTTCAACCGGAGCACTTTGGTAATATCTTTCATCTTCATCTTGCTGTTGCTTGCGAATCTCTTGTTCAAGAACTGTTAACTATTGCTTTCTTTATTTTCTTGTTAATTAGATAATTAGGATTTTAAACCAATTCTCTCCCATTTTAATCACATAGTTACAGTCATTTAATTAAATTATTCCCCGTGGATACGATCCTTGCTCACGCTACTACATATTGTTAAGCAAGGTTAATTTGGGTGCCTACGACAGCACGACCAACCGTCACGTACCGTACCGAACCGAAGAAATGAAATTAAGAACCGAATTATAAGAAATAGATGCGTGATATCAATATATTTTATGTCAACTTTGATACTATATAATTTGAAAAATTTTAAAATGGGAATAAAATATAGTTATAACAATTAAGTTTCACTTAAGTTTCATTCTTAGTAATATTTGAGATCTACAATTGAATTTTTCTGGTTTAAGAAAAATATATTTCAAATGGTATGAAAGGTTAATTAAATATTATTTTAAAAAAAATATTTAAACATTACTTAACTTAGTCGATACTAGTCTTATTCTATCTTATAACTAACATGGTATGGAAGGTAAAAGAAATATTAGTTTAATAAAAAAAATATATTATATTTTGTTTGAATTTTGAATTTTCAATGTAAGTTGCACAAATTTAGTCTTAACTATGATTCAGAGTTATTTCTCCAGTTGATTTAAAAATAAAATCTTTAGTATGATAAAGTATTGATGAATGTTGGATTTAAAAAATATATATATAAAAATTAAAATACAACTAGGTGGCCATCCAAAAAATGTAAAAAAATAATTAAAAATCTCCGAATATCCGAATCGAAACGAACCGTTCCGATAGTCCTGAGAACCGAACCGAACCGAAACGAAAAATAAAAATATCCGAACCAAACCGAACCAATTTTTTGGTACGGTTTCGGAGATTGAATTTTAGTAACCTCCGAACTTCGGTACGGTTCCGGAGATTTGTCAATCTCCAAACCGTACCGACCCATGCTCACCCCTAGCGTGTATACACGTTAGACTTTTCTGATCTCTTCTATATCTATTCCATGAGCTTAATGATGTATATATAGAGCTACAGTATGGATCCTTAGGAGAATAGGAATAGGGCTTCTTATGTAATGGTCTAACTGTGGGTCAGGCCCACTCCTCCAATTACATAAATAGTATTACGGTCCACTAACGTAATATTATTGCACTCCCTTTTCCTATCCCAAATTACATTTTAGACTCCAATAATAATTTCCTGGTTTACCTCCCCGTGTTAAAGATATAATGTCCATTAGTTAATTTGATTACTGACAATCAAGAATTAATTAATATATTTTATTATCAAAGCTAGTTCATCACATTATTATTATGCCGGAATTTAATCCACCTGCAGAGTTTAGCATAACAATCTTTCATGAACTCACTTCAAGGACATCATCAAACTAACGCACATGGTGACCGTAAATATCCTAACAGCACATCATACATACAACAATATTACCCAAGACAGTAAGAATATTGATCCAGCGAACTGAACCTCACCCAAGTGAATCAAAGTAATATGTACTGCATATATATGTCTGTTTAATATATTACAGGTTAAGAGAATGCAGTATTTAACAGAGGCCTAGTTCATTTACGACGATGAGTATAAAACGAACTTCTCCTCTCTAGGATCCTATTCATACATAAATGTACTAGTGCAACTAATCAGTCAAGACCAACCGTACCTTTGACACTACAACCGTTCTGATGGGGTGTTCATTTCCATCTAGGTTGTGAACCACAATTTTTGTTTCGCAAGTAACTGATAGAATGGTCTTCCGTTCACCCGATGATGACCCATTCTATCTAAGTGCAAAACAACAGAATATATAACTTGTTTAATCAAACATGATTCTCATTCATAAAGGGCAAATGTGTAATATCATACAAAGCCAAGCTTTCAATATATAACACTAACAATATTGACCTTCCTTCAGGGTATTATTGCTAATGTCTTCCAATCTTTTGGAGCATCCTCGGTCCAGATGCTCAATTCATTCCACAATAATTACACAGGTTTACTAGATTCTCGTACCTGAAGCTAACATTAACTACTTGGTCTCCCAATCTAATATTTGCACACCTTGAAAGCGGTTCACCCGAATTCAAAGAAACTAGCAATCTTATGATTCTGCCACAATGATTTCCCGATCTTACAATCATTACATTCTTAACTCCTTTAATTTTTTTTTCAAATTTTGAGTTCCACTTCCGCACTAAGCTAGTTGAGAGGGATGTTTAATACCTGGACCCAGATATTGAGTTCTTGAAAGCAGGGATTCTTACTTGACAGCTTGTCTTGCCACTTTTTTAGAATTAAAAACTGGTTCTCAAAGCTCCAGTTAATTGTGTCGCTTGTTGCTTTCATGAAATCCTCCATGTGCTGGAAGATAAACTGAAAGTAATTTGGACCGAGTTCCTCGACCTCCATTGATTGGTTGAGATTCCAGATTTGTCTCATCGTCCTCTTTACTCCAATCTAACTGGCCTTGCGATCTCCTATTATTTTCCCGAAAAGGTTTCTTTGACATTCTTCTGCACTTAGTTTTATGTCATCCTGAGTTGATTCTCTGTCTGAAAGAGAGAAGCCATTTAATCTCTGCGATAATTCATCATCCTGGCTCGCACCGAAACGAACTTCTATGGATAGGAGAACCCCTAAAAGCCCGATTAGTATTTAGCCCTAAACCCTAGAAAGGGGAGAGCAGACCACTTAAAACAACAGAACTTGAGAATGAACTGGGTTGAGCAAAGAGGATAAGGAAAAAAGGGGAAGAACTGAAGAACGAAACGAAACAAAAAATCTCTCAAGCGAGAGAATTCGAAAATGGAAAAGCTCTCAGACGAGCTTAACTATTCAGGACATTAATTGATTATGGGCGATATATTAACTACAGAATAAACTAATTATTCTATTTAAACTGAAAAGCTCTCAGGCGAGCTTAACTATTCAGGACATTAATTGATTACGTGCGTTATATTAACTGCAGAATACACTAATTATTCTATTTAATTTTGAAAAGATGAATACATCTCAAATAAAATAAATATATTTCATACAAAATATTTTTTAGAATTTAAAATAACATTACAAATTCTTTATTCTCTTATTAATTCTTTATATTTTTTTTCAATAAAAATTTTATTTCTTTCTTATATTCTTTGTTGCACAATTATTTTTTTTTTTCCTGAAACACCCGTGTAGTTCATGAGCTTTGTAATAATATCTAAATATAGTGTTGAGTATCGTTCAATGCCTATTATTATAGAAAATATTGAAAAAATAATAATAACGACAAAATCATTAATGTGACAAAAAAAAAGAGTCTCAAACTCATTATATGACGTATCTTTTGGCCGAAAATCTTATTCTCAACAATGTAGACATTGATTAATTTGATTCTCTCAGGACATAGCTTTGAGACATGGCTACTTTGAAGATTTCCTATAAGACAAATGGATGTGATGTGACATTTAAAAAGTATTCTTATTTTGATCCATTCTAAAGTTAACTTATTGTACATAAACATTCCAATATGATTATTTTTTATAAACTCTTATAATTGTGAGATTAATGCTTTTGAAATATTCACAACAAAATATTAATTTTAGAATTAGTCCACGAAGAGTGTTTTAACATTATAAAAGGGCATAAACTTAAGCTAGAGAACACATCAAAATATTGTGGAATATTGTGGTCTGAGGGAATCATGGGAGGCTTTTACGTTTATATCGGTTTCAGTGTTTATGTAATTGTTTCATTTCTTGTTAATGCATATTCAAAACCAGAAGATGCTACAAAATCTGTTCATATTGTGTACATGGGAGCAACACATTCGTCAAACGGTGTTCGAAGAACAGATCACGTCGATCTTCTGCAAACACTCGAAAAAAGGTCAATTTGATTAATTTTGTTCTTCTTCCTATATATTTCAGTATAGTAATTAACTAATTTTTTGTTAAAAATTAGACTTGTTAAATGGCATACTCTGATAGTTTTGGTTCACCACCAGCGTGTTTACAAATTAAATAGTTTGGGGAAATAATATGAATTTAAATTGTTGAATATTATAATTTAATTAAAATTTTAATTTTCTTTGCGTTTGTTTTTCTTTTGCTCTTCATAGACAATAAAATCCAAAGCCAGTTAATAACAGAAATAGTAATTAATTTTCAGGAGCTTTGGTTGTGTTTTACGTACCTACAACAAGAGTTTTCTAGGATTCACAGCACTTTTATCAAACGAAGAAGCGAAATCAATGGAAGAAAATCGTGGAGTGGTGTCTGTTTTTCCAGACTCAGGTTTACAACTCCACACGACTCATTCTTGGGATTTTTTGTGGAAGCAAGATGCTTCAAGAATTATCAATAAAACATTATCCCCTCCTTCTTATACATCAAATTTTTCATCCGAAAATGACGACACTATCATTGGGATCATAGATACAGGTGATCATACGTACTGTTTTTCAGACAAGGATTGGTTATATAATTTGATGTGGTGGCCTTCATTTTCATGTATAAATATGTTGAAACAGGAATTTGGCCTGAAGCTCCTAGTTTCCGGGCCACTCCAAGTATGCGTCGAATCCCAAAGCGTTGGAAAGGAGGTTGCATGGGGGGACCAAATTTTACTTGCAACGGGTAATTAATTTTACATATAACATAAATATTTAATGGTATACATAATTTTGTTTAATTATAGATAGTTTGGTTTGGTGCTGTTTACAAGTAATGTAATTAAAATAGGAAAGTGATTGGAGCAAGGTACTATGAGAATGAATACACTCCAGGCGATCTCACATCAGCTAGGGACGAGTGGGGGCATGGAACACACACTGCATCAACTGCGGCCGGTATGCCTGTCGGTGGAGCATCGTACTATGGGTTGGCCGAGGGGACCGCAAGAGGGGGATCCCCAAGTGCAAGAATCGCAATGTATCGTGTTTGCGGAGCTAATAATTGTACGATATCAGCATTACTCAAAGCAATTGACGATGCAATTGATGATGGGGTCGATGTGTTATCCATGTCGTTAGGCATGCCTGAAGAAAATTTTCTCGCTAATCCAATCGTTCTTGGAGCCTTCCATGCTGCGCTTAAAGGTATCACCGTTGTGTGCTCCGCGGGGAACGACGGCCCTTCTCGTAAGACGGTTGAAAATTTTGCCCCTTGGATACTAACTGTTGGTGCAACCACTATCGACCGCGATTTCGAGGCCGATATTATATTGGATGGGAGAACAAAGATTAAGGTAAAGAATCGAAATATAATTATATCGGTACATATATTATGATTATTATTCAAACTATAAATTATTTATATTGGTACATATATTACGGTTCATTAATATTCACTAGCTAGTCCATTAATTTGGTGTTGTAGGGTGGAGGCATAAACTTTTCCGGCCTCAGTAAAACTGCCATTTATCCTTTAATTTATGGAGCAAGCGCAGCTTCCAACCGCCATAATCGATACAATGCAAGGTATTAATATAAGTATTCCAAACATTAATAACCCATATGAATGAAGCTGTTTCTTTTAATTTTAGCTTTTTCAATAAGAAATAAATAGTTTTAGTAATTTGTTTGACCTCTATATCGGTTTTTCCTCATTTTCAAAATATACTTTTAATTTTATTTGANTAATGAGTTTTTAGTCTTCTGACCGCTATAATGGCTTATAGCACAAGAACGTTGACGTTACATATTTAAAAATAATCATTTTCGTCTTATATCTTACACCCATATAAATTTTGTTCTTTTCTCTAGTAGAAAATATTGTTTTTATAAAGTCAGATACTAGATACAAACTATTACGAAAAGGTATTTAACATTTTTCTTGTAACTAGTACGGTACCCGTGCGATGCACGGAAACATTTATTACCTATTTATTCTTTAAAAGGTATTTTTGTATTTAAATTGTCTCATGCCATTAAAAATTTCATAAAATTAAAATTTATATGTTATTAAACACTTCCTCATGTACAACATTATTGATTTGATTCTTTGACACGTAAAGTACTACATAGGTGTTCGAATTTATCCAAAATTGCATATTATTAGTTATTAGTTAATAAATTTTAAAAAAAAATAAAGGATCTTATTTCTTAAACAAAATGAAAGTAGAAACAAAAGTATAATTTTTTAGGGATTTTCACCCATTATTTATTTTAAATCTAATTCTAAATTTCAATCAAGAAAAATTGAAAAGAATCATTAGTTACTCCTGGAAATGAAACTGATTTTCCTACCAATAAACCGATTTTTTTATCAAACAAATTGATCCGAATATTTTTTTAAAATCAAATAAAAGAATTATCAATTTTTCCTAAAAATGCAACCGAATATTCCTAACATTGCATCGATTTTTGTACCAAACAAATTGAATTGAAAATAATTTTAATAAAAAATTAAAATAAATTGTTAGTGTTTATGCAATTATCTCTTTCCTAAAGAAAATGATATGAATTTAACTAAAAAAAATGATATGAACTTACCGAAATCTCGGTAAAATATGGTTAAGGAAAAATATAAGAATCCAAAAAAATCGATGCATTTAAATTTGTATTTAGAATTATTTTCATAAATAATTGACACATTTTTTGCGTAAGAATCTCCAAATTTGTTACCAAAAAAGATATGATTTAAATTTTGGTAAAAAAAAATAAATATGATACGATAAAAATGGAATTCAAATTTTGCCATAAGAATCTCCAAATTTGTTACCAAAAAAATAGGATTTAGATTTTTGTTACTAAAGATTCACATGTGTTTTTTTGAACTTTCCAGTAATAGTAAGTCAAACATTATATTTATTTGGTCAAATTTTCTTAATGTATTTTTCCAACAACCTCTTTATATATATAGATATAGATATTGATGTTTTTTTATGCCCATTATTAATATTTTTGTACATATAATGCACTGTGCTCAACCTTGCATGCAAAAAATAAAAACAATATATGAGGATCATTTCTTATTATGATTGGCGTCTTTCCAGCCATTGTTTCCCAGGTTCACTAGATCACCGCAAAGTGAATGGAAAAATACTTTTATGCGAAAATGATGATGACGACTATGGATCAACAGAAAAGTTCGAGTCACTAAAGACACAAGGGGGCGTTGGTATTATAGTGATTGGTGACTTTCAACGCCGAGTGCCGTTTTCTTATGGAACTTATGCAATTGCCACTGTGAGCAAAGAAGATGGAGCTCAAATACGAACTTATATAAACTCAAACAGGTTTCAAATTTAGAAAAATAAAAAAAATAAAAATAAAAACTACTAGAATTTACTAATGTGAGATTAAAATAAATAGTATAATAATAATATTATTATAAATAATAGTAATGCATATCGTTTGAATTTTGACGTTCTAGGAAAGCACTGGCAACAATTTTACCAACTGCAACGATCCTGAATACCAAGCCAGCACCTGTTGTTATATTCTTTTCTTCAAGAGGCCCACCACATGGCATTAACAATCTTATCAAGGTACGCAGCTGCAGTTTTCTATATCATAATTATTTTGCTAACTTTAATTTGATAACTCTTAGCTAGAGAACATTATGCTAAGTTTATATAAAAAATTAATAAATTTGCTAAGACACCGAGATATAGTTTATTGTTACTATTGTGGCAAAGACAAAATTTCAGAATTGGTCTTGTCATATTGGCCACTTCCAAATATCGACTATTAATTAGTCATTCTTACTTTATTAGTTTATAAGTATTAAAAGTGTACAATCAAGTGATCAACCCAAGCTTTAAAATAAGAAAGAAAATAAAAATCATGTTAAAGTGTTTGGCCAAAAAATTAAATGAAATCCATCATAGAACATTTTATTTGAAAAATAAATTATCTATTAATATTATTTAAAATAATAAAATATTTTAAACTTATTTAACTAAAATGTAGTTTATAATTTTATAAGTGACATGTGTCATTTTAAATATAAATAATAACATATATATATATATATATATTTTAAAAAAAATATGTGAATTTGATTTTTTTTTTCTCGGTTCTTAGTTTTGACAAGAAGTATATTTAGACACATTGTTTTGTAGTTTTTTTAACTTATTTGAAATTGCAATTTTATATATATATATAATTCTCGAGTGCGTTGAGTCCATATGGCAGTCTCGTGTTCTTCATAAACTTATAATTTATCATAAATTTGTGCTTCGTATTGACAAATGTACCTGTTTGGTTTTGACTACTAGGCTTGAAAATTATCGTAAACTATTTTAGATTTTTTTCTTTTTTCTTAAGTTACAATATACCATTCTTACCTTTTCTAATTTAATTAATATATTAATTAAAATGAATTAATATTCTTTTTTACATATAAAACTTTATCACTTTTTTATTTGTATTTTATTCTTTATTTATGATATATTAAAATAATTGTATTATAACGATCGACGATTTGACATCCATATCGCATATATAAGATATAAAATATTTTCATCTACCTTTATAAAAAAAATAGTTCTATTATCAAATATCAAATAAGAATAAAAATTATTTTATAAAAATAATAAAAATCTAATTCATTAGTACATAATAAAATAATTAATTTAATTTTTTTTTTCATAGGTTTTGGATAAAATATAGAAACTAAGTATTACATAAATAAATTATAAATAAAATTAAAAAATTTCCTTTTGAATATATTATATAAGGTACTTAATGTTATTATGTTGTTTGAAATAATAAGAATAATGGGATATCATAATTAAATATACTAAATAATTTCACATTTTACAAAATTATAAAATAATACATTTCTGAATAAAACTTAATATTATATTATATAATTAAATAAATTTACAAAACTTGAAAAATTAATAAACAAGAGACACCGAATCTATAAATATAAAATATAATCGCAATACAATAAAAACTTGTTTTATTTTATAAAATTTCGAATCAGATATATGGAGTTGTAAATAATATCTATTTTACACATATATAATTTCAAAAATATAATTCAAAGTTTGACAAAGTCAGGAAACAAAATGCTTGCGCCATATTATTATAAATAATTTCACACTAAACATATAAATAATTTAAAATTTTATTGTACAGATATTATTATATTTAAGTACTCGTGTAGTACACAAGTATCGTGCTAGTTTTATACTAATTTAAGATTGATTGTTCTTATAAACTACTAGTGTTAGTTTACGATATATTAAAATATAATATATAAAATGTGTTATAATTTCTTATTTTTAATAACACCTGTACTTTAATATTTATAACAAACTTAATATATATATATATATATATTTCATTTAGTTATATGTACTTGTGGGTGAACGGGTTGGATAGCGGGTTTGTATAATTAAAAAATATTTTTTTTAATAAAAATATAATAAATAAATGAGGTGCATAGGGCAACCTCCAAGGTCGCCTAGGCGTGATTAAAACTTGGCTACCATCTAGCTCGCCTAGTCGATTGTGCGACTAAACGAGCCGCCCACGCAAATATCGTAGTCCTTGAGTGATGCCTTGCTCGATTATTAGAATATTGCTCGAGGTTGAAGATTGTTGGTCCTTTTGTATCCTGATGTTGTCGCACCTGGTGTTGGCATCCTCGCAGCATGGCCACCATTAGATGATTATCAAAAGATCAACGGTACAAATCCACCCGGCTTCGCTATAGATTCAGGCACATCAATGTCTTGCCCGCATGTTTCCGGGCTCGCCGCACTTGTCAGATCTCGATATCCCAAATGGGGTCCCTCGGCTATTAGATCGGCGATAATGACAACAGGTTACCAGATATGGATAATAAATTAATATTACGAAAATATTTTCCATTTCAATACACATAATATTTTTTTTTTTTTTTTTTTTTTCNTTTGATACTGGGATTTTTAACTCAATTTATTCACAAAATAGACATTCGGTGGTTCAATTTTTCCAATTAACATTCACATTTCACACTTTGAAAAAATCATAAGTTCGTTGCTCCATTAAAACAAAAATTTATTAATGAATAAACTAAAAGCCCCAAAATTGATTAATTTGAAAGGTGCATTACCAAAATCAAGAGGCAGAAAAACTAGAGATAATGAAACTATTTTTTTTTTAGCTTAGTATTAATATGCCCTAACAATATATAATATTGGTAAATGTTTCAACCACAAAGAAGAAATTCTATGGAGTTATCGAATGACTCTCTTATACATTCATTCATAATTGCTATGTCGACACATGTTTTAAGTGTATTCATTTTAGTACACATGTTAATATATCATTTGTAATTAATTGTATATGGCTCCATAAGTCATGACATATGACATAGCAAAACTTAACCACAACAAAAAAGTTTTTGTTCACGAAATATATCTGATTTGCAGCAATTCCAACCAACAATCTACAAGGCCCAATTACAACAGATGACGGAATAATAGCTACTCCTTACGATATTGGTTCAGGGGAAATAAGCCTCACAGCCTCACTACAGCCAGGGCTCGTGTACGAGACAGACACCGCCGATTATATCCAATTCCTTTGCAACATGGGATACAACACGTCTACAATTCAAACCATGGCGTCGAATTATATTCCTCACGACTTTTCTTGTCCTTGTGATTCGCATCCTGGTTTGATCTCCAATATGAACTATCCTTCAATAGCCGTGTCCGGATTGAAAGCAGGTGGAAAACCAAAGACGGTGCAAAGAACAGTAACAAATGTTGGCGAACCAAACTCCATCTACACCGTATCCATTGAGGCTCCACGTGGTTTGGAAGTTGAAGTAGAGCCAAAAGAACTACAGTTCACCAAAAATAACAAACAAAGTTTTCAAGTGACATTTAAGATCAATACATCGTTCACTGGTGAAAAACAGTTGTTTGGTTCACTCACATGGGTAAGTTCAAAGCACAAAGTTCGGAGCCCATTTGCTGTGAGCAATTAAGGAAAGAAGTTGACGGACTAGATGACTTGTGACATCACTATCTTACTGTTGATCAGAATAAAAGATAGCCAAGGCTTACAAATAAAAAGCATATATTTGCTTGTAATAGCTTGTTAAAATAAATAAAATAGATGAGTTATGAAATGTGATGAATAAAAGTAATGATTTTTATAAATGATGACTCTCTGCTCTGATTAGCTTGTCCTTAAGTGCCTTTTATAACTGTTGACAAAAATATTGTGTTCAGACGCGCTTGAGACTTTATTGATTTTCTTAGTACAAACTCTCATGTGTCAAATGTACTTGTTGGATTAATTGATATGTAGTTATATAGAGAGAGAGAGAGAAAGGATCATATGAGAAATGAGGATAGTGAAAGAAATAAGAATGATTGTAATCACTAGATCCAACCTATCAATGGTCATGATGAAGTTAAAGTTAGTAATTATAGCCAAACTCATTAACGGTAATTTAGTCATTTGACACTCATTGAGGATAATTTAATCTATACAATTAATTACATATAACCACCCCAACAAATCACACATCGTCTCTCTCATAAAATTAATACTCACGCACAGCAACTCTCTCTCTCTCTCTCTCTCTCACACAAATACATAAAACATACACTCACCTCACGGTCTCACGCACACGCACTGGATCCGGCCACAACATCCAAGACTGACTGTCGCACCGCTGTCTGTCCCTCACGGTCACCGGACACGCCCGCCATCAGCAACTGACCAAGCTCCACGACGGAATCCACTCATACCTTTAGCCAAAACACCACCACCAGTGCGCCGCGCCGCCGTCTACCACAGAGATGGCAGCCCTCAGAAACACTGCCGTTGCCAGCCGTTGTGGCCATCGGAGACGTCCGCAGTTGCATCGCCCCAACCTTCACGCTGACCTCCTCTAGCGACCACCAAATCGCTGCCGGAAAAGCAGACGATTTCGTCGCTGCCAACACCAGCGAAGCTTCTGACATATCCCACCGCCGTCGCCGGTCACAACATGCTCCGTCGGGATGTTGAGTTTTGAGTGCTCACTATCATGTCCGGCGAGAGGCTGCTCTCCGGTGGCTGTTCTCCGGCGACGTTTACAAACCGGACGGAGGGGGGAGGACAGTGATGCTTGTTGGTGGAAGAGAATAGGATGAAGACAAGTTTTAAGTTCGGCATCATTGTGAGAATTTGTCAAATTGAAGGGACTTAATTGCAATTTTTAAAATTTATTATATTTCAATTTAACCCATGGGTCAAATCTGTAATTTATAGAAAATATATTAAATGTACAATAATGATAACCAAAACAAAAACTTAAACTTAAAAATATTTCGTAATGGATGTGTATTACATTCGACACTTTAAAAGTAAAAAACATATAATCGAACCAAAATATAAAATTTCAAACTAAAATTTTTAGTTCGGTCGGTTCAGTTATTTTAAAAAATATAGTTTAAAATTCGTACCAAAAATATAATATTCGAACCAACAAATTTAGTTCAGTCGATTTTCAATCGATATAGCGCAATGTGATTTTTAATATTCAGCAATATTCATAGATTTTATTAAAACACAACATGACCTTTTTAAAGGCTACAAAAGGTGCTGATGAGTTAATCCCGTTTTTGGGACTCATTATGGACTAAAGACGCACTTTTGACCACATAAATAATCTTACATGATGTTTGAATGACCTTTTGACTTCTAAGATAAACCAAGATAATGGAACTTCAATTGGGCTTCATGACATGGAACTTCAATTGGGCTTCATGACATGGACGAAATTAAGTCTTCAATCCATGGATCAGTCTTTATGCAAACAATCTGGCCCATCAACTTGACGAATATTCATCAATTTGCCTTCAATCGGAGTTCGGTCTGTCTTCTTTTGAAATTCAGCAATAAGAACACTCAGGCTTCCTTCATTTCCTTAGCCCTTGCCCTCGTAATCGGCCCCCGATATATTTCCAACGGATCTTCTTTACTTTGAACGGATAGCTTCGGATGGTCCCCATCATCCAGCCACAAGGTCTTAATCATGATGGATTTTTCTTTCGAACGGCTGGAATACTTCGACCTGCCATTGAGGTCGAAAAGAGACACACCAAACACCATAAGATAGAATAGTAATCGATCATTTTCGTTATTCCCATCAAATGCATAGTTATATCGAACAAGATACAAAAAAATCAAGCATATTTTTCGACCTCATTTTCCTGTCTGTACACGACGACCTAAGTTGCTATTTGCTCAATGCTTTCCACTCCTCACCATAACCAATATCCAGTCCACCTACTCATGCATTTTCCTCAGCAAGAATTCAACAATTTCAATTAGTCGTATTTTATCCACATTATCCAATTTGCAATCCCTATAGCAATAATAACAAGAGACGAATAAACAAAACAATCACATTGGTCCACATGCTTTTATACCACACCTCAATCTTCATGCAAGTCTCTTTACCACAATATGAAATCACATAAACACGCACTCAAATGTACAGACGACCAGAATTTCTCAAAATCATGAATTCAACAAAAAATGACAACAGACCAGGTTTCGCAGATACAAACAACCAGTAAAGCAATGCACCAAACAAACAATAATTCCAATGAGTTTCTCCAAATACCAAGCTCCTTAGTCATGACGACTCGAGACTGGCCAGCCCGAAGGCCTTAGTCATGCCAGATTTTTGTTCAAGGCTCTACAAACACCTCATTTTCTGCATTTTGTTAGTCACCTGAATAATAATTCCTAACATAGCCATATACACCACAATCCCAGCAACATTTGGCCCAAAATATTAAAAAAAATGACCATTTCCCCAAAAAAGCATGCTAAGAGACTCAATGTGTCGATAAATTGCGTCGGTCGAACTTAACCGCCCATAAGAGTTGGGATTAGTTTTATACCTTAAGGTCGATAATACCACTCCCAATTATCCTACCTCTCCAAAAGAGAACGACTTCTACCTTTGAAATTTCCACCGACGATCGGCATCATCCAGACTCGTCCCTCATTATCACCCTCCTTTGATGGATTCATGCTCACTCCTTTTATCCTCGAAAATCAACTACTCGTCCTCAATAGCTTGTCAAGACTTGGGTTATTTCGTTGTTTCCTTGACAAGAATTCAAAGAGATATCATTATCCACATTATATACACGTCATCCATTTTGCGATTCTCCATGCAAGAAAAACAAGAGATCAAATACAAACGTCACCATCTCCTCGATTTAAAACATGCTCGACCAATGACATGCTTAAAAATTATGAATAGTCAATTCAAACAAGATTCCACATTTTCACATGAAAATCCAAATGAGGGGTTCCGAATATATCAAGATATCAAATCATATAAGGTTAATCCATCTCTTCGGACCCACCGATAAATGCACCAAACACACTATAAGCACAATCACAAAATATCCTCAATTCGAAATCACGACTCCCATTTATTCTTAATCAAATAATATCTCCATTAATAAATTAAATAAACTCCATGGATAAATCAAATAATCTCCTCGAATAAATCAAATAGTCTCCTCAAATAAAATAAATATCGCCTCGAATAAATCAAATAGTCTTCTCAAATAAATCAAGTAATCTCCACGAATGAATCAAATAGTTCCCACGAATATATCAAATATCTCCACGAATAAATCGAATAATCCTCCACAAATAAATCAAACAAATTCTCCACGAATCAATCAAACAAGCTCCACGTATAAATCAAATAATGCTCCACAAATAAGTCCAATAGTACTCCACAAATAAATCCAATAATATATCCATGAATAAATTAAATAATTCTACCAATAAATCCAATATTATCTCCACCAATAAATCAAACATCTCTACGAACAAATCAAATATCTCCACCAATAAATCAAATAATCTTCTCAAATAATTTAAATATCCTCCTCAAATAAATTAAATAATCTCCTTGAATAATTTAAATATATCCACGAATAAATCAATTAATATCTCCACGCATATATCAAATATTCTCCACGAATATATCAAATAAACTTCCACAAATAAATCAAATATTCTCCACGAGCGAATTTAAATGTCTCCACGATCATATCCAATAATTTACCAATTTTCACCCATTGGTACCCTCAAGTCTCCAAATTTTCCCATTTAAATCAAATAATTTATCCAATTTTTGCCAATTTAAAAAATTCCTTAGACCCATAATTAAAATTAACTCCATACCTTCCGCATGAGAATGTTATCTCAAATTACCTTACCGTCCACGTCGAATCCCCCCGATTAGTATTATGCACAACCTAGGGTTGTTAGATCAAGTTGGTACCATTCTGGGCCATTTCTAGGCTGTTGGACCGCTGAAGGGCAGTAGAAAAAGTGGGCCGCTCACGGGCCGGATCTGGGCCTCACATAGGCTGAACAGAGGATGAACGCGGGCTGTGGAGCAGGCTGCGCGGGCCCGAATATGCTAGAGATGCGGGGTGCGCGGGCTGGGCGCTGTTTCCCCTACTGCGTGATGGGCCGCTCCGATTCCTTTGGGCTCGTGGACTAACGCGGGCTGCTACTGGGCCGCCTAAAAACGGGTTGCGTTGAACTTCCTTGGGCCACTCACACCTGGGCTTTGCTGGATGGACAGTGGACGAGGGCTGAGGCTGCCATGACCTGCTCGAGCTTTCTCCTTTTTCTTGCTCGATCCACGCTTCACTCCGGCGAAAAAATACCAGAAAAAAGCTGCCGAAAAAGGTCGACGTCTCCGGCGAACACGACCGCGAGATGGTGCGCCCCGGCAAGGAGATTTCGATGATGCCATTGGATCGAAGTGATTCGTCGAAAATCACTAAAAATTTGAAGATAATCAGATTTTGACCAAAATTCTTTTAGATCCAAACACTTTGACCGAGAAATTGACGGCCTTTCGAGGAATTTTTGCATGAAATTTTAAGGGGAGAACGAGCGCGAGAAGAGCTTCCCGATGACATAAGAATTTTTCCGATCGGATGATCTTGACCGGCGGTCGGCGGTGGCCGGCGGCTTCCGGTGGCAGCGTCCGGCGGAGGTCAGGCTCGGTAGATTCGCCTCGACGAGAGGATTACAATGGTACTCCCGGATTTTTCATAGCCCTCATGGATCGCCGGGAAAATGCATTTGAAGGTCGAATGTTGACCAAAATTTCCTAGATCCCAGATGATTGACCGGCCAAATCGAAGGCCTTCCCGAATGAATTCTCACATGTGATTTTAAGGGGAGATTCACCTCGAGGAGATCTACCCGTTGACGTAAACCATTTTTCGATCGGAGCACTTCGGCCGGCAGAGTCGAAGGAAGATTTTCGTAATTTTTTATCGGAACTCCGTTTGGCTTTTTGTACAGGTCCCACAGACGGCGCCAATGGTCGTGAAATAGACTTCACTCGGGCTCCTTCGGCTCGGGCGGCCTCCGTACCTGCAAGAACCCAATGCCGGGAGGGGTCCCAGCCTCGGGCCTCCGACGCTCAAGTCATTATCACTTCAAAACTCCAAATTCCAAGTGTATAGTAATGAATGTAGAGAGAGTGAGATAATGAGATACCTTAGCCCCCGTTTATAGGGGGAGTGTACCTTATGGTGCAAGTTGGACTTGTCCAATACTATCATGCCACGTGTCCTAGCCCATGCGTAAGCTTATTCTCCAATATATTTATTTTTTATCCATTAAAACCGGTCTAGTATAATATACTATATCAATTTCAATTTATACACATGGGTCAAATATGTAATTATTGAAAGTTAATAAAAAATTATTTTGTTATATATTTTGTTATGCATTTATATTAAAATAATAAATAAATTATTAAATAAAAATAAAATAAGATACTAAAATAATATAAAAATATTTTGTAATAATAAATAACTCATTAAATAGAAATAATATAAGATATTAAAATAATTTGTAATAATAAATAATTTATATAATAAAAATAATAAATAAAATGTTATTTTAATTATTAAGGTTAATTCGATGTACAATTATACACATAATTTTCTGGGAAGGTATAAATTAGCTAGTGCACTTTATATAGAGGAATGTCGCACTTTATAAAATAACATGTTGCACTTTATAAAACAATACGTTGCACCTTATCACATCATTATCTCGAAAAAAAACACAAGCATTATAACATACCAAAATTAATACGTTGCACTTTATACACTAATGCGTTGCACCTTATAACACAACATGTTGTACCATATAAAACGACACACTGCACATATTAAAAAATCTGTAATATTGCTAACCAATCGAATAACCGAATATGCTGAATTATACGAAAAATATTACCATTTTTTTATAAAATAAATAAAAATTTATTTTGGTTATTTACGGTAATAGATTAACGATACAATAAACCAATTATGTCGATTCAATTTTAGTTTGGTTTGGTGTGAATCATAGAAAATAAATGCATTGTGAGTGCACTATAGTAACCGATACCGGAAGAATTAAATTTTTTGATTTGAAATTTTATATTTCAATTCGATTAATTGTATTTATTTTTAAAATCACAGTCATTTTATTTCAGTGTCGGCTTTATTTTTTTAATAAGCGAAATAACCGAAACGACCGACCTATATGGAAAATTATATTTTTATTTTTTATATATTTTTATGTATGACGAGTGCATTTTAGTGTTATACTAATTGCACATTAGTGACTATTAGATTGCACTTTAGTGACTATTAAATTGCACAGTATCGAATATCCTCGACCAAACTAAAATTTTCAATTCGAGAATTTAAATTTCAATTCAATGGTCAATTTTTTACATTTAAAAACTAGGTTATGCCAATTTGATATCGATTTTTTTTTTTTTTTTTACTTAGATAAACGAACAACTGAACTATATGAAAAATATTATCCATTTTATTATTATATTTTTTATGTAAAATGTTATCCAATTTCAGCCATAAGAGTACAAAAAAACTAAATATTAAATATAAATATTAAACTCTTAATAATATTTTGATTAATTACAATTTCACACATAAACTAAAGTGCAGTACACAAAAAATGCTGAAATTGCAAATGGACTCCTAAAACTTATTAAATTCACAACAACAAGACCCTGTACATAAATCTGGAAATCTCTTGAATCTCAGGCTCTTTTATCTCCCACCGAGCACCTCGTCCTGCGGCCACCGGTGGACTGTCGTCGGTCGCCGTCACAATGCCTCCATCATCGACCACTTCGATTTCAACCACCACGGCCGGATGGCCGAGCTCGCTGGCGACCAAGACGCCTGTGGCCGCCCACCGCTGCAACAGGCGTTCATCGATGGCCATGACGTCGTCGTCGGGAGTGTCTCTTGTTCGGCGAAAGTGTGGTTTGTGGTGGACGGCAGGTGGCGGATGGAAGGCGACGGCGGTGGGTGGCATACGGGCGGCGACTGGCAGTGGGTGACGGGATCGAGCGATGGCTGGGCGCCGCTGGGTGAGGTCTGAGGTGACGGGCGATGGTTGTGGGCTAAAGTGCCACCGTTTGTGCGTCTCTATGTGTGTATGTGTGTATGTATGTGTACTGTGTGTGTGCATGAAAAATCAGATTTTTTGTATGTATTTTTGTGTGTGTGCGATGGGGGAGTGGAAGGGTTAGTGGTGGGGTCTTCTATTAGTGGTTGATTATTTAATGGGTGTATAATAGCTAGTTTACCCCTATTGAGTGGTAAAAAACATATATTTAACCACAACTTATATACTTATTTACCATACTGTCACTCATATTTAACCATTATTTATTTAATTTTAACTTGATCATGACCATTGATTTGGTGGATCTAATGGTGCAGAATCATTCTTGTTTCTTTCACTATCCCTCTTTCTCCGAGGATCTCTCTCTCTCTCTCTCTCTCTCTCTCTCATAATAAATAGGGTCAACTTCATGATAAGCTTCTCCATGAGAGTTTTACCGTCCCGCAAATACAATGGGACGGTTAAAACCTCCGCAAACTCATGTGAATGTGTTAGAGCATCTCCAATGGTATATAGTCCATTTGGAGATGTATAACATGGAGAAAGAGAACTACAAAATTTTGTCTCCAATGACGAATGTCAATTTTAGTATAATGTGACATGTGTAACATTATAATTGGTTGGGGACGATATATATATTTAATAAATAAAAAAAAATATAATAGAGGATGTTTAGAAGTACTTCTTGACATAGAAAGACTTCTAGATATTTTGAATGTCACATGGCAATAAAAAGGAACAATCCATAGACCATTGGAGATTCTCTTAATATTGGGACGGTTAAAACCTCTTAAGTGAGTATAGACGGATAGGATTGAATTTCCAGATTAAATTCTATAGTAGTATTTGTCGTTTCACATAATATATATTTTTAAGTGGTTTGAGAACTAGATGCCCGTTGGTAAACCAATAAGACAACGGTAGTATTTATCGTTTCCCATAATATATATTTTTATTGCATAATTGAAAATATTAATGTATTAAGTTAATATGAACAATAAAATTTATATTTATTTTGTTAGTCACTCATTATAAATATAATGAGTGACTAACAAAATAAATATAAATTTTATTGTTCATGATGATCATATAAACAGAATACATAAACAAAATACATAAAGCATGATGATCATATATTTATTTTTATCATATATCATGTATTGGATGTTATTGGTTTGGTTGAGGACACTCATTATATTTAAATAAATAATATATAATTCTCATATCTTGTATTTCTTTTCTTACAATAATGAGATGTTAAACATCGGACCTCTTTTGACCGACTTACCGGAGCCGCCGGAGGTGGGGGCCTGATTAGGGACCATAGCGATGCTCTTATTACCGCGTTTCATGACCCTCTTCGGGCCTCCTCGAGCTAACACGGAGGTTCAGGCGCTTTAGATCAGTCTTCAGATTGCTGCCTCGACTCCTCTAACATTTGGATAGAGTTGGGCGCTACCGCTGTCATCACTCTCTTGACCTCTGGCCATCAGGGCACATGGCAGATTCAGCATCCTCTCATGCGTATTAGAGCCACACTTCGGTCGATTCGCTTTCAGATCTCGCACACCTTACGCGAGGAGAACTGACCTGTTGATTACCTCGCTGGCATCGGGTCCTCCACTCCCCAGAAGCATATTCTTTATCTTGACGATATCCCTCTCCGCCTCCGTACCCTTATACGGATGGACCATATGGGATACCTTTCATTAAGATTTGTGTAGCCAGTCCCATTTTTTGGTGCATCTGCTCTCCCGTGATGCTGACTTTTCGTCTGGACTCTACACTAACCAGGATTGGATATATTTACTTGCTGCTGTTGTCAGCTATCTATTGTTTCTTTTCTTGTTTCTGTTTTTATTTTTGTTTGACTTGATGTATATCAGACATTTGACTTGTAGATTTGTGACTTTTCCAGTCTATTTAGAGCCTTTTTATATACAGGTTGGGGTCCAACCTTAAAAAAAATATATGTTTCTTATAAAGTTTTAGAAAATGTCTTATGTAAAAGTCCGTCCGCATCGCACGGGATACGCAATAGTTTTTTGGTCAGTAAGAGATCAAGAATTTTTCACCTTGAGATATTATAATATAACAATAGAACAAACAACAAATAAATAATCAAACTTCAATTGTCCAAAATTCGTGGTGTTTATACGTGAAATACCAGAAATTTTATGACGTCCATACGGGCGTCATAAGGCATGCCACAATCTGATTTGGATATTATTTATCAATTCCAACATGGCAACAATTAAGGGCTTGATTGTTTATGAAATAATTTACTCAACTTTATTTCATACTCAAAATCTAACACAACTTTAATTCAACTTCACTATCTTTAATATTATTTATGTAATTAAATAATACAAACCAATCGTTCTTACACATCACATCAACTTTAATTCACTATTCATCCACTCACATAATTTTAACTACATATCATTTCTAATCATTTATCTTCTACTTTTACATCAAATCAATTTTAATTATTTTATTTTAAATATTATTTTAATTCATTCTTAAAATTCTACTAATAACTAACTATATCACATTTTTTAAAATTAATTATAGTTAACCAAAATAACTCATTTTCAATAAATTATTTCACAGACAATCAAGCCCTAAGCAACCCTTCGTAACTAGGATTGTTCCCCTGTTCTATATCTATATTTCCATAAGATTAAAACAGTTTTTATGAAAGAAAAAAAATAAAAAATAAAAAATCTTCAGAATCAAAGGCTCTCATAAAATCGAGTCTTCGACCAAGAAAACATCGGCTTTCGACCCGCGGCAGTCTCCAGATTAGTATACACAAATTCTATGGCGTAGATATAAAGATTAAATAGGTTGATTATTTGATGAAAGATGTCCATCACTTCAGTATTCATTCAACAGAAAAGAAAAAAAAAAAATTGATATGTTGATTTGAGAAAAAAGTTGAAGAAAGAAGTATTGTGTGCTCTATTAGATATCAATAAGCAAGAGCTTGGGTGAGGTCGCATATGGATTTCGGGAAACGGGTATGAGTTAAATTTCGGGTCGGATGAATTGACGCAGGCCGAGCTTGAAATCCTCCATCTTCTTCGCGATAAACTGATTCGCCCTCTTCTGCAAAGTACTAGAATTTCTGATTTGGGGATTGAATTGTCGTAAAAGAATTTTTTTACAGATGAGTATCTTTAATATATAAAATTGCCATGTTGGAGTTGACAAATAAAATTGACAAAGCCACCTCATAAAACCATATCAAATAATGGCATGCCCGTATGAGCGCCGGTAGAATTTCTGAGTGAAATACATGTTTTCCATTTTCCGCTTTTTTAATTCCCTTGTCCCTCCTTTTAAAACCAATTATTTACACCAGCAAAGGAAAAACGGGAGATAATAAAGGTGGAAAATTGAAGTTATGGCGCCTACATCAACGGAGGGAGCTAAAGCAACAAACAGCAGTTTGACAAATGACTTTTTACTGGCCTTTTATTTATTATACAACATAAACGTCATTATTAAATTATTCGTCCTAGGGACAATAATTCAATCTCTACTCTGGTTGAGAACAAATTTGTGATTTTGTCAAATTTCCAATATTCCAAATCCGTTATATTCATTTTTTCGCCCAAAAATCGGAATCACAAGAAAAAAAAGGCAAAACCTAAAAAATGGGCGCGAGGTGGGTGGTAGGATTGGCTGTCCTCCTGGGCGTGGTCGGCGGCACAGCGTCGGCGGACGACTGCTTGTCGCCGCTGATGAAGCTGTCGAGTTGCTTCCAATTCGTGATGCCCCTGAGCAAGGCGTCGAAGCCGGACGAGAACTGCTGCGACGCCCTCAACTCGCTGCTGGATTCGGACGCCGCGAGTGGGACCCACGCGATGACCGACTGTATGTGCAACGCTTTCAACGGCCACGGCGAGTTCGCAGTCCAGATCAACAAGACCCGGGCCCTCGCCCTAGCCGACGCCTGTTATGCTTCGCACCCCGCAAACTGTACTCGTAAGATTAGATTTTCGCTTCAACCAATTTTAAATTGCTTTTGCTTTTTTGTTTATTGATTTTAGTACTGTTGACAACTTGAGAATCTGTCCGATTTTCATAACGCTGCTTCTTTCTGATTCTGACTAGTGTTTGCAACTCTCTGAGTCTGGAATGAGAATGAATAAATTGGATGAATGTGATAAATCATTTTATTTTCTTTTATTCAATTAAGTTAAAGGACTTAATATAATTAAATTAACTTACTTAAAGCACGTTCCTTGTAAATACTAAATTAATTTCTAGATAATTTCAAACTTTTATAAGAACTGAAAAATGAAAATATTATTGTGAATGATTTAATTGTGTTGGAGTTCTGGAAGAATGAAGATGGTATCAATGTATTTTATATTAATAAAATTATTTTTGGGTTCATTAATGTGCTTAAATTTTACGATCCACCAGACTTCTATTTTGTTCTTCACTTGTGTGAGTTTTAATTTTGTGTACTGTATATGCCGGTTTTCTCACTTTTTTGTTTTTTCTTGTTTTCCAATTGAACAGAGGCTCCAGCACCCGCCCCAGGTATAATTAATACCGATACATTTGTTTTTTTTTTTTTCTTTNTCATGTCTCAATTCAGGTGATTGGACATTTTTTTTTTAAAATCGAAAGATTAACAAGATGAATCAAAATGACACGAAAATGTATTACTGAGATACAGACTATCCAATGAAATTATTAGTAGAATACAAAAACGTAAAAGAAAAATCTGTACCCATTTTTTTCCTTGTGTTTGACAATTTAAAGTGGACATTGATCAAGATATTTTAACCAACAGAATAATTTCTAACATGGGTTTGTATAATGTTTTTGACCAGCAACAATCACGCTCCCGAGCTCGACGACTGTGGCCCCAAGCTCAGCCACAGGCAACCATAGCTCCTCTGCTTGTTCTTCTTCACTCGTTGCCTCTCTTAAGCTGCTCCTTTGTACCACAATATTTGCTGCAATTTTCACGCATAGACCTGGCCAGATAAATTAACGAGTCGAATTATTAGAAATTTTGATAGAGATTCCTAAATAGGATGGATGAATTTACTATAAGGCTGTCTCAAAAAAAATTCCAACCTTTTCTTTAAGACAAGATGACAAATATACGTTAACGAGGTCAAACACACCAAATAATTTTTCATAGTCCTGCATTTATGTTCAAGAATTTCATCATTTTTGTTACTTTCCAGATGTATAAAATATCAAACTAAATGTATATGTGATGTGAAAATTTACACCGCGACCTCGGATTCTCGGAATATTGTGTGCCAGTTTTTAAGAAAAGTGCTTGGATGGTATGGTTAAGGGCATAACCAGCTCAGGCCTCTTCGTTGTTCGACCAACGGTTAGTCTCCCAATCGGAGAAGAATCTAGCCTTACAGCTAACTAGTACAATGTTCTGTGTATTACAAAGGTGTTGCATTAATGGCATGATTGGTAGGAAGAAATGACATGTGAATAGAATGATCATTTCCTTACTCATTCATTATTTCATGATTGGTATATTTTTTGAAAAGGAATGACCATTACAATGGGAATTACAAAACCAATCTCTATGGGATTAACCATTCCATAGAAAATGAAAGGTTTTCTCATTCTCATGTGTGTAGGAATCAATTTTCAAAAAATAAAATTAACAAATAATAATAAAACTATAATATATATTATAATTCATGATTAAATAAAATTCAAATAAAAAAATTGAAAACTTACTTTTATTTATTTTTTAATTAGATATATTAAACACTTATATAAAAATAAAAATAAAAAAAAGCATTTATATATAATTTAAAAATATATTATTTAAATTTTACATATTATTAAAAATATATTATTTTTTATATAATAAAAACATATTACTTTTAAAAATATATTATTGAAAAATATTAAAAATATATATTATTAAAAATATAATTTTTATTTTTCAATATTAATAAAAATATATTATTTTAAAAAATAAAATTCAAATTAAAAATTTAAAACTTACTTTTATTTATTGTTTAATTAAAAAATATAATATGTATTGTTAAAAATATATTATTTTTTATATATTAAAAATATATTATTTTTTATATATTAAAAATATATTACTTTTAAGATTTTTTATATATAATTTAAAATGCATTATTTTTTATATATTATTAAAATTATATTATTTTTTACATTACTAAAAAATATATTATTTTATTCTTATATATTATTTTATTTTTATACATTTTTATATAATTTATTAAAAATATATTAATTTTTAAAAAAGGCTTTTATTTATTTTTATAATAAAAAATGATAATGTCATTCCACTCAAGTCTTATTTCTTTTGCATACCAAACGCATCAATGAAAAACTTGTTTCATTCCATTCCCATAATAATTTCATTCTTCAATTAATTCCATTCCTACGAAATTTCATTCCATTATACCAATCATGCCATAAGAAGTATAAGTAAAAAATATTAAAGCTTTTATCTCAAAGAAAACCTTTAAAACTAAAATAATTTAATTTTATATAAAATATTTCTTTGTGTTTTAATTAAATTGTTAAACTGTATTTTTTATAATTGTAATAGTTGAAAACATGTATATTAAATGAAAATATCAACTTATATTGAATATTTTTTACTTATACCATATATTACATGAGTACAAAATACATATTTTAAATTAATATAGATAGTATGGTGACATGTATATGCATAAATGTAGAATATGTATGTTGAATATTAAGTAAATGAATTTAGTTTTTTACTTAATTAGATACCTAATATATCAAGTGTCGTATTAGTCTTACTTCACAGTTTTTTAACTTTACATATAATTTTAGAATTTGGATATTTAATTATTTATTTTTATTAGATTGACAACATATCAATTAGATTTTAAATAAATATCATTTTTACAAGAATAGTATCATATTACTTCATCTTCGAAATGAGTAAAATATAAACATAGGAGAGGAATATTGAGAAATAAATTAATATGACCGATTTAGTGACTATATGTAATAGAAAAAAAAAATGAAAGTATTAAGGTAACTATGTAAGAAAAATATTGAATGAAATAAATAATGACTGTTTAGATGAAAGAAAATATTTAATATATTATAGAAATAATTATGCATAATTGACATTTGACAGAACACCCAAGCCTAATTATGTACCACTCGTGATCATAGAAATATGAAAAATAAAATCCTAAAACAATCGAGTCTGTCACTTAACTCCAGCACAGTGTGAAGATTTGCATGCATAGGCGTGGGTTGGAGGGTCCTCAGACTTTAGAGCTACACGCTTTTAACTATCGGGAAAATTTTAAGATTAGCCCTGCATTTCTAAGAATATTTCAAAAGTAGGCTAATTGGAGTACAATTAATTACATGTAGCTATCCAGCTATTAAAATTGATTAAAATAATAACAACTTTTGTTGGAATTCTATATTTGTGGTTGGAAAAAATCATATTCCTAGTCCTGAAATTGGTTATTTTTTTTTAAACTTCTTTTTCCTCTTTAAAAAGAGAATCAATAGTTGTTCCTTAATTACTTCCCGCATGACTCTAACTCGAGACCTACAGATAAGTGAAGAGTTCTACCAACTGAGCTATTCATTCCAATCTTATTTTATAAGAACTTGAAATACTACTATTGATTAATTATATTCAAATGGAACTGCCTTGAAATATATACAGAGCTACGGAACTAGTTTTGAAATTTGATTAAACCACGTGGATATGACGTGTTAGCTAACATGATATGTGAGACGTTACATGTTATTTCCAGCGATATATGTGGAATTCTGGTAAAAGTTGTCCTTATTTTATGATTTTTTTTAAATGCACTACTATTAATTAGTTGTATTAAAATATTATTATTTTTTAAATACACCATTTTTTGAATTTTTTCGATGTGATGAATTCTAACAATTATATATGGTTAAGATAAATACGGTGTGTTTGTTGGTCATTTTAATTTGTTGCTGGTCTTTTTCTTTCATTATTTTCTGTTGGTTTAGGTTCTGTTAGCTCTTAAAATTTGTGTGTTTGGTTCGTCTGGGTGGTTCTGGTGGTTTAACAACTTCTGGTTTCGGGGTATGTCCCTGCCAAAAGTTTCGTTTGATTGGGTTGTGTTTCTAGTGCACTCAATTGAGAGTGTCACTCCCATTGTGTTTTATTTTCGGTTTGTTTCCGGCTTATACTGAACTATGATTTTGGTTTTATGGAGTTCATCTATCGTTTGNGAAGATAAATACGGTGTAGTGCGCCGACTCAAAATAATAAAATATATTATAGACAGGAATCTTTGGCCTAGAATTAGAAACATCATCGCATATGCATGATTAAAAAAGATCATTCTATATCATGCCTTCGGACTTTTTGAACTTTATGAAACAGTACACTTGCTAAAGGAGATTGATTTTGATATTTCTTTTCATTCAACATTTTGAACAGGTTCTCTTCCGAGGCGATGATATTAATTTACTCTATTTTCTTTTGCTATATGCTTTTTACTCCAAGCATAATGATAAGGATCACGTCTGGTGAGAATGATATCTATACATATATAATAAAAATTAACATTTATCCAAAATAGTAGGTCAAATTATTGTCAATGTCTGATTTGCTTTAAATATTTTCCAAAACCGATAAGTTTTTGTCCTTTTCACACTTCTCATTAATTATGTTCTTTTCACACTTTTCATTAATTATGTCATTTTCACACATCTAATTAAATCATTATCCATAAAACACTGAACTTATTTTATTCATCATATAATAACAAGCAAAAATATTACAAAATATTACAAAAGATAACATTATAAATTATTTCCCTTATCCCAACTCACTACTACAATTACATACTTCCGAAAATTAAAAATTGCCCCCATAACATTGTTCTTAGTATAGATTTTACCATTTTGCTAAATAAATAAAAAAGGGTTTTGGGGGCAAAATCGGATCACGGTCCTTATTCAATTATCTTTAGTAATTGATAGAGATTATTAGTTATCGGGCTCTACCTAGAATCGGGCCGGGAGCCCTTTGTGAGGAACTGGAAAAGGGCTGTACTCTATAGTACCTTTTGAGCCAACAACTTCCCACCTGCACTCGAGCATAAGATCAAATAAATTAGTTGAAATCTTTAAATAAGATATGACAATTAAATTAAATGTCGAAGTAAAATCAGTAAGATTTTCTTAAGTAGTTAGCTAACAGTTAGTCTCAAACTAAAAATTTCGAGATATTTGGTTAATGATAGCACACGTCTTTATTTCAAGGAGCGGATATTCTTTGACCTTTAATTAATCTGAACTGATTGTCTTGACTTTTCAATTTTTAAAAACTCTTTTTTTAAAAACTCTTTTTTTATCGCACGTTGGTCTTTTCATGAAGAAACCCGTTTTTAGTCACGACCAATTATATGTTGCTGTTTCACGTGTAAATAATAGAAGAGGGTTGAAAATATTAGTTTGTGATAATGAGGAGTTACCAAATAATCAAACTCATAGTGTTGTGTACAAGTAGGTTTTTAATAATATATGATTGTTACCGAACTTTTTATGATTCAACAATGTTCCTATGTATTTTAATGATTTCAATTTCGATCCTAATGCACGTGAGATTATATTATTCTTCCAAATTTTACATCCCGTGCATCGCACGGGTTACGTACTAGTTCAATGAAAAAAATAAGAATAAATCGTAAAGTATTAGATCAGATAATAACAAAAAAAAGTCATTTTTTATGCACATTAAGGGTAATATGGTAAAATACTCAAATACCCAGTGGGACCCGCCACCAACACAAATCCCACCAGCCAGCTGTACACTCATTATCTCTCTTTCTCTCTCTCTCTCTCTCACACACAGAGCAAAAGCTCGGTCCGTCTGCCATGGCCGCCTTCCCCCCAGTCACCGGCGACCATTTCTGTCGCCATCTTCACCGCAATTTTCACCGTCAACACTGACCGGCGATAATTCCGAAACCATACGCGCCTAAAATCCACTGCGTCCAGAGGTCTGACAACGTCGACGAGCCTTCACCTAGCGGCCGGTGCCGCAGCGGCGCCAAAATCCAGCGTCGTTTTTGTTCCGGATAACAAAACAGATATACAACACGCAGCAAGATGCAAACACTCCCGACTCTGCCGCCATTGTTTTGCCGGAAAACCTCCGCCGCACACACACTCACACACACCACAACGGCTGATCTAGGATGTGGAGACGACAATCGTATCGGTCGGAATATAGTCACGCTGCTGGAATCAAGGTGAGGGAGCTGCCGCGGCGGCTGTGCCGGAGCCCTGTGTTGAACAAGGGATTTTTGGCAGATGCTGAAAATGGAATTTATTTGTTAAGGGTTTAGTTGTGTAAATTAGATAAACTTACTCATTTACTAAATACCGCACCTAAATTACTTTTACCGCACCCAAAAAAGACACAAATACCCTTAGTAATATAAAAAAATAAAAAAATTAAAAAATAAAAAAAATAAATCAGAAAAAGGGACAAAACCGCACCCCACCCCAAGTCTCCCTCTCACTCTCAAAAACTCACAAGAAAAAAAAAATTGAACAAATCGTTCGAAAAAATTCCAAAAAAAAAATTCTGACACTATAGTCTTGAATGGTTTTTCTGTTCTTACAAGTTATCTAGAATAAAATAAATTACTTTATGAGTAATCTCATGAATTTACATTCTCTTGGCAATTTTATATGAATAAATTTCTCATTCATAGGATAAATTTCAGTCGAAGCCAGTGACACCAAAACCGATTATCGAACCTGAGACAAATGTCGTGACAACTTTGTGGATGGCGCACGTTATATAAAAGATTCAATTTGCATAAATATCTCGGCTAAGATTTTTGGAGAGAGAAAAGATTTGTACATATTTCAGAAGGACATAATGGAGTTGTTGCAAAGTCAAAAACTTTGCATTTCTATCATTGAATTCTTCAACATGTAAGTATTTCTCATCATTTTTGCCTGCTTTTTATCTGCAATTTGAGGTAATAATTTTCTATATTAAATGTTTAATTCAATAATCTTTAATAGTTTAGTATTATATATACATTATTCACTATATTTTCTTCTAAAAATTATTTATTTTTTTGAGTTACCACAGGTATCTCTATAATGTGCTGAAAGAATCCGAGAAAGAAAAAAAGTTAGGATTTTTATGCCCGCTCAAAATTCAAACAAGGGGCAATAGTATGGAAGAGATAGAAGGGTAAATTGCGAGAAGAATGGGAGAAGAAAATTACAAGTGTATCTTTGCACCGTACATTAGCGAGTAAGAATATAAAAACATATAAAATTCACTTTTTCTTTGCTTTATTTTATTTTTATTAACATTATATAGACATACAAATTGAAAAGTGTACCAATAAAATACATTTATCTTCTGGATTGACAGAGAACATTGGCAGTTGATGATACTTTGTCCCAAACAAAATAAAGTGGTTTGGTTGTGTTCGTTGAGAAGAGGTCCCAACACGAAGTTGATAAACAAGATTAACAGGTATATATGTTTTTAAATTGATAAATTAGATCGATTTTGTGGTTAACTTTTCTTTGCTAAATGTATTTCAAATATATTATCTTTTACATTTTGGCTTATTTTGTCTTTCAAGTAATATGAATATTTATTATGTTGCAGTGCATTTCGTACATACTTCATGGTTAAGGGAAAACGTAACCTTAGAATAGAGAAGCCTAAATGGGTTCGACATAAGGTAAATTCATTGAATGATGTTAGATGTTTTGATTTTGGAGAGTTATATCATTTCCTTGTTGGTTGTATGCATCGATTTAGTTTGTGTAGTATAAATGATGTTTTTATGTTTTTCATACAAGTGTCCAAAACAATTGGGAGATGAAGCATGTGGATATTTTGTTATGAGGTATATGCTCGAGATTGTACCACTTGACATTACCAACTTGTTCGAAGAGGTAAGTTTTTTATTAAAATCAAATTTTTGTTGTATTTGAAATCGCACAATTCAATACATGTTATAGTGACAATATTTGTTTGTATCATGTAGGCTTTCACCATTGATGAGCCATATTCGGACGAAGACATTGAGAATATAAAAATGCGGTGGACGAAGTACTTTCTTGAGATTACTTCATTAGGAAAATAGACTTATCAATTTGCTTACGTTTTATGGAATTTGAACTTTATCAAAAATTGTGGTTGATGACTATTGTTGGTGTAGTGCATATGAAAACTATTGTTATAACTTGGCGTTGTTGAAATATTTTGGTTGTTAGTATTTGTCATGTGGGTTTTTGTTGAATTGTAGGAATATTTTGAATGTATGAATGTTATTATTTTGTAGTAATAGATTTTTAGATTTACAGGTAAAAAAAAATGTATATTTAAATAAAATCGTTGTAAAATGTTTGATTTGACATTGGTTTTTAAAAGCTGATGTAAAAAACCAATGTAATAATCTAAACATGTTACATCGGTTTTCATAAAGCCGATGTAAGCAGACTATTTCGACAAAAAGGTTTCACGTCGGTTTTCATAATAACTGATGTCACTGTAATCATTATTCACATCGGTTATTTTGAAAACCGAAGTGAATCCATGTAATATGACATCAGTTATTTTGATAACCAATGTTACATGTCTTTGTTTACATCGGTTTTTTTCAATAACCGATGTATTTACAACTCTTTTGCATCGGTTTTTATAAAAATCAATGTTAAATGTCTTACTTTACATCGGTTGTTAAACGAACCGATGTAATAGGGTTTTAACATAATCGATTTTTTCCATTTCCGAGACCTATATATGTTTTCCCTTATAACATCGGTTGTTGTGAAATCCGATGTAAATAAGTTTTTTTCACATCGGTTCAAAATCGATGTAAAAAGACAGACTTTTAACATCGTCTATTTCAACATCGATTTTAAAAAGGTGTTTTTAACCGATGTGAAAATGATTTTTAATCGATGTGAAAAGAATCTTTTCTACTAGTGAAATTATAGAGTTAATTTGAAAAGATTGGTTGAGTTAGGTTTGAGTGTGACTTTGAGTTTGTAATTCATTAATATTTAAAATAAAGTGATTCAAGTTTATTTGACGTAAGAGAGGTTAATGGAAGTGATGTGTGTTAAAATTATATAAGTGAATGAATAATGAATTAAAGTTGACATGATATGTAAATATAATTAATTGATATTATTTAATTATTTGATAATATTGAAGAGAATTAAAGTTAAATTAAATTTGAGTTAAATTTAAGTTAGTAATTGAAAAATGTTAATCGCAATTTATATCTAAGCACCACCTTTATAGTCTTGTGTGATGGCAGTGACAGACTGACAGTCACAAATGGACCGAACCCCAAGACAAGGAAATGTCAGGCGTGGGGTAACCAATCATTTCTAACCTAGAAGTATAATGATCTCTTCTATTTTTTTTTTATTTCTTTTTATTTATGAGGAAAAAAAGGCTTTACGATATTATTTTCACCAGCAACTAAATCGGCACTCAAATCATAAAATCTCTTAATAATAAATTTACGTTGCATGCTTCAAAAGTAATGAACTTTTCATAATCATTTTTCATCAGCTTGCTATTTAATGAATCTTCCTCTGATTGAATTGTCCTCTGGTTATAAAATCAGTAAATCCTTTATATAAGGTTCGTTGCATTTTGGCCAAGAATATAGGGCAAGTAATTACGTAGGAAACATAGATCGGAATTGACTATATTTTGTTGTGTAAATGCTACAGTTAGATGGGTTGATAAATTATATTTTATAATAACAATAATAAATATATTTATTTCATTAACTGTGTTACTTTTACTTATATTCCTTTTAAAAACTCATTTACTAAACATCGTACCTAAAAACACAATACCGCACCCAAAAAATACAAAATTACCTTTATTAATATAAAAAAAAAACCAAAAATCCGAAAAAAAGGGAAAAACCGCACAACCCACACACCCCCCTTTCCCTCACTCTCTCTCGCAGCTCTCAATTCACATAAGCAAAAAAAAAAAAAA